TTCATTGTATTATTTTGCACAAAAGCAGCTTTGTGGTCTCATGTATAAAAGAGCAGAGGTGCCAGGGGTCCCTGGGTGGCTCAGATGGTTGAGCGTCTCCTTCTGCTCAGGTCATGATCCACAGGTCCTGGGATCGAGCCCCATGTCGGCCTCCTAGCTTGATGGGGAGTCTGCTTCTCCCTCTCCCTCTGCCTCTCCCCCGTTTGTGCTCTCTCTCTATCTCTCTCTCAAATAAATAAATAAATCTTAAAAAAAAAAAAAAAGAGTGGTGTCAAAAAGAAGTTAGCAATTTACAGATAAAATGCTTTCAGAAGGGCGCCTGGGTGGCTCAGTTGGTTAAGCGACTGCCTTCGGCTCAGGTCATGATCCTGGAGTCCCGGGATCGAGTCCCGCATCGGGCTCCCTGCTCAGCGAGGAGCCTGCTTCTCCCTCTGACCCTCCCCCCCTCATGTGCTTTCTCTCTCTCATTCTCTCTTTCTCAAATAAATAAATAAAATCTTTGAAAAAGAAAAAAAAATGCTTTCAGAAATGATTTAAGTTCGTTCGTCATAATTCGTCCTGTTGATGTATAACAGCTAAACATGGGCTTTCCAGAAAACTCCAACGAAGTAGGACACACCTTTTTTTTTTTACCCAGGGGTAAAAATTTCATGCCAGGTCAATAATTAACAGGTCTTAGGCTCATAAACTGAAAAGATTTGGGATGAGGCAGGATAATGGTAAGCTTGAGTGCATGTTTGGCAGGCTTGAGATGGGGAAGGCAAATGTTGGCCTGAGAGAAGACAGGTGGTGCTAAGCACGGCAGCTAGTAGGTAGGTGATCAAAGGCCCAGTGATACCCCAAGACCCGTGGGTAGTCCCTACCCCCTTACAGTAGGTGGCTTTTTGATCATTAAATTGACATTCTCTGAGGTATTTCTTTCTCCTCTTGGGAAAAAAATCTGGTATTCACCACTTCCACCCACTTTCATTCCTCAGAGTGTTGCTGTTTATACCTGAGCAGTGCTTTAAAATCACTTTTAACTGGTTGTGTATTTTACAATTTGCACAGGGAAACTGAGGCACGGTCGAAGACTGTCCTATGAAGTTGAGTGCTCCAGCCTAACCTACCACACATTTCAGTACAGAACCTTGAGTGTAATCATGGTCATGGTGAACTTTGGTTTCATCAGATGAAGACTGAATATCAGCACTGCAATTTGTGGGCGTGTGTGCGAGTGCGAGGTGGGGGGAAGGGTGGAGGGAGAGGGAGAGAGAGAATCTTAAGCAGGCTCCCCACTAGCGCAGAACCCAAAAAGGGGCTCAGTCTCACAACCCGGAGATCATGACCTGAGCTGAAATCAAGAGTCGGTTGCTCAACCAACAGGCCACCCAGGTACCCCTCAGTACTGCAATTTTTATTTAACCACAGGTGGATTACTTATTTGTTCTCTCACTTTTTTTTTTAAGATTTTATTTATTTGTCAGAGAGAGAGAGGGAGAGAGAGACAGAGAGCAAGCACAAGCAGGGGGAGTGGCAGGCAGAAGGAGAAGCAAGCTCCCCGCGTAGCAAGGAACCCGGATGCAGGACTCGATCCCAAGACCCTGGGATCATGACCTGAGCTGAAGGCAGACGCTTAACGACTGAGCCACTCAGGCGTCTCTCACTCTTTTTTTTAGATAAACTCTATACCCAGTGTGGAGCTTGAACTCATGACCCCGAGATCAAGATTTATATGCTCAGGGTGCCTGGTCTGGCTCAGTTGGTTAAGGGACTGGCTCTTGATTTCAGCTAAGGTCTTGATCTCAGCTCAGGTCTTGATCTCAGGGTCATGAGTTCAAGCCCCATGTTGGGCTCCATATTGGGTGTGGAGCCTACTTAGGGAAAAAAAAAAGGAAGAGTTAAAAAAGAGTCCCATGCTCCACTGACTGAGCCAGCCAGCTGCCCCCTTAATTGTTCTCATTTTTAAAAATTTATTTAAGTAATCTCTGGGGGTTGTAATCAAACCCAACATGGCACTTGAACTCACAACCCCGAGATCAGAGCCTCACACTCTTCCAACTGAGCCAGCCAGTCACCCCTGTTCTCATTTTTTAAGTTAAAAAAGCCCTTCAATAAGAGGCTCTCATTAACTTCTCGTAGGGTTGTTACCAGAAAAAGAGAAACCCAGTTATAGTCTAAATATTTCTTGCTACCTCAACAACAGATCTAAAACAATGGTGGGCTACAATAAAAATAGAATCATGGAAAATATGCAATGCTAATTTAGCACAGAACACTTATAACCAATTTATCTGATATGCCACCAGAGCAACTAAACTTTTATTGAATAAACGGTTATTGAATATCTGCCTTTTTGTTTAATTTTCCTCCTGATTTATAGTTAATAAATATATTTGGATACTGTGTGTCCTATGTGTCAGGCAATATGGTAGGCACTTTCATGTGTCACCTCATTTAAGCTTTCCTCTGGCTTCCCACTTGGATTCCCCTCCTCCAAACTGCCTTTTTCCTCCTGGTAGCTCATATTTTGCCTCTGACTCCTATTCCTTTCCTCTGTTATTTACTCTGTTCCCATTAGTTTTCTCTCTGTTTCACCACTCAGTCCTTGGACACTGTTATTTTTTCTGGGACCCCGCCTCCATGCCATCTTTTGCCTCTTTGCCTGCTTTCTGTGTATATTGATCAATGTGAAGAAAATTCATGGGAAAGTTACAAATAGGTTTTCTTAAAACACCTTTTTAAAAGATCTATCTATTTATCTTAGAGAGAGAGCGCACAAATGGGGGGAGGTGCAGAGGGAGAGAGAGAGAGAGAGAGAGCATCTCTAGTAGACTCCCCGCCAAGCACGGAGCCCACCGTGGGGCTTGATCTTAGGACCCTGAGATCATCATGACCTGAGCCAAAAGCAGGAGTTGGATGCTTATCCAACTGAGCCACCCAGGTGTAGAAGTTATAATTACCACCAACAATGTATGAGTTCTTGGTGTCCATATACTCGCCATTTAAAACATTGTAGCTGGGACGCCTGGGGGGTTCAGCTGGTTAAGCGTCTGCCTTCGGCTCAGGTAATGATCCCAGGGTCTTGGGATCGATCCCCTCATCAGGCTCTCTGCTTGGGGAAGCCTGCTTCTCCCTCTCCGTTTTTGTCTGCCCACCGCTCCCCCTGCTTGTGCGTGCTCTCTCTCTCTCTCTCTCTCTCTCTCTGACAAATAATAATAAACATTGTAGCTACTCTGCTGGGTATGTTTTGGTACCTCATTCACTTTTACGTTGCAATTTCCTGATGGCTAGTGATGTTGAGCTCCTTTTCCTATGCTCCTGGCCACTCACTTATCTTCTTTGGTGAAGTGACCATCCAAATCTTTTGCCTATTTATTTTATTTTTTTAAATTTATTTATTTGACATAGAGAGAGAGAGACAGAGAGAGAGCACAAGTAGGGGGAGCGGCAGAGGGAGAGGGAAAAGCAGGTTCCCCGCCGAGCAGGGAGCCCGACGTGGGGTTCGATCCCAGGACCCTGGGATCATGACCTGAGCAGAAAGCAGACGCCCAACGACTGAGCCACCCAGGCGCCCCTCTTTTGCCCATTTTAAAAATGAGGTTTTGTCTTTTTATTATTGAATCGTAGGAATTCCTTATATATCTTGGATACCAAACCTTTATCTGATACATGCTTTGCTAATACTTATTCCCCCATGTGTGGTTTGCCTCTTCACATCCTTAAGGGTGTCATTTGATGACCAGAAGTTTTCAGGGTTTTTTGTTTTTTTGTGTTTTTTTTAGATTTTATTTATTTATTTTAGAGAGCGAGAATGGGGGGAGGAGTAGAGGGAGAGGGTCAAGCAGACTCCACACTGACTGCAGAGCCTAACACGGGGCTCCATCACAAGACCCCGAGATCATGAACTGAACCGAAATCAAGAGTTGGACGCTTAACCCACTGAGCCAACCAGGCGCCCCTTGTTATGAGTTTTTCATTTTATTGTGCTGTGATCTGAGGATCTGGTTATATAATATTGATTTTTTTATTTTTGGACACCTTTTTGGGTGACTACATTGTCAGTTTTACTAAATGATCATTGTGTGCTTTAAAAGTATGTTTTTTTCTCTAATTGTTGGCTTCAGAGCTCTCTCCTAGTCCTTTGAGGAAGTGTTTTGTGTTGTACAAATTTCATACCCTTAAAATATTTTTTTGGCATAAGTTCTCATTTTTTGAAATACGTTGTAATCTCCTAGCTTGTCATCCTTGTGGGATGGCAAGGAGGCCAGTGTGTGACTCAAACACAATAAGGGGGAGAGGAGTAGGAGTTGAGGTCAAAGAAGCAATAGGGCCAGATCACGTCTTCAAGGCTCTGGATTTTACTATGAGTGAGTTGAGCCATCATTAAGGGTTGTGAGCAGAGGATTACACAGATGTGCTGAGAACAGAATAGGATGTGGGGGTGGGGTTCTGTAAGAGACTATTACAGAAGGCCAGACAAGAGAAGATGATGGTTTGGCTTAGGGTGTATAGAAAGAAAAGATGAGGGGCGCCTGGGTGGCTCAGTTGTGAAGTGTCTGCCTTCAGCTTAGGTCATGATCCCAGGGTCCTGGGATCGAGCCCCACATCGGGCTCCCTGCTCAGTGGGAAGCCTGCTTCTCCCTCTCCTACTCCCCAGGCTTGTGCTCCTACTCTCATTCTCTCTCTCTGTCAAATAAATAAATAAAATCTTTTAAAAAAAAGAAAGAAAAGATGAGGAAGGTCTGAATTCTGGAAATATTTTTTTTTTAAAGATTTTATTTACTTATTTGAGAGAGAGAGTGAGAGAGAGAAGGAGCACAAGAGGGGGGAGCGGGAGAGGGAGAAGCAGACCTGCTGAGCAGGGAGCCCGATGCGGGACTGGATCCCGGGACTCCAGGATCATGACCTGAGCTGAAGGCAGTCGCTTAACCAACTGAGCCACCCAGGCACCCCTCTGGAAATATTTTGATAATAATGCCAAGAGGCAACAGATTTTAGTTAATAGTTTAAATGTGGGGTGTGAGAGAAAGAGAGGATTCAAGGATGATTCTTTTTTTTTTTTAAGATTTTATTTATTTATTTAACAGAGAGAGACAGCGTGAGAGGGAACACAAGCAAGGGGAGTGGGAGAAGGAGAAGCAGGCTTCCCGCCGAGCAGGGAGCCCGATGCGGGGCTCGATCCCAGGACTCCGGGATCATGACCTGAGCCGAAGGCAGACGCTTAACCATCTGAGCCACCCAGTGCCCCTCAAGGATGATTCTAAGATTTTTGGTCAGAACTATTGCAAGGATAAAGTTACTGATTACACAGCAGGGTGGGGGTGAGGAGATATATATATATGTATGTTATATATATAAATAAATATAAATATCTGTATATATATCTGTATTTTTATATATATACAGTTGTGCAAGAGAAAAATGATATATGTATATATACAGATGATATATATACAGATATATATATATATATACAGATTTTATACATATGTATGTGTGTGTGTATATATATATATACATATCTGTAAGCTCTATACAGGAATAGCCCGTATCTTCTTTCTTTGCAACCTCTCAATAGCCTTCATTATCAGAATCCCAACAAATATAATAATGTTAACAGTTAATATGTATCCAGTATTTTTGTGCCAGGCACAGTACCATTAATGTAAATGTAAATTTAATCTTTTAATGTACATTTATATTTGATCATTTAATCTTTACACAAACCTAGGTGATAGGTCCTATTGTTATCCTCATTTAGACGTATGGACAACTGAGCCCTGTAAAAGTGAAATAACTTGTTCAAGTTTGCATAACTAGTCAAAAGGAAAGCTGTTTTCTTTTTCCTTTTGTAAATTTTCTCCAGATATAGCTCCTTACTTTTTCTTTAAAAACCATTCTTTGTCTTAATTTTTGAACAGATGACAGTTATGCAGTTTAAAAATGAAATGACAAGTTTCTCTTTCAAATGTTTTTTCTCAGCCATCCACTTCCCCTCCCCCTGAAAATCAATCTTATTAGTTTCTTGAGTATTCTTTCGGAGATATTCTATTTCCTAAACAAGCAGATATAAAATAGAACATAGTTTCATCCTTTTTGTGTTTTTCACAAAGGGTAACATCCTTTATACACTGCTTTGTACCTTGTTTTTCCACTTGGATAACTTTCTATGTGATTATACCATAATTTACTTAACAGGTCCCCTATTGGGAGACACTTAGTATACGTCTAGTCATTTGTTATTATCAACAGTTCTGCAGTGAATTACCTTGTATATATACCACTGGCCAGGGTGAAAGCTGGTACCAAAACCTTGATCTGTCTGACCTTAAAGCTACTTGACCTCCCACAGCGCACTGCCTCCCCATATGTTGCTGATTGATTCGAGAGGGTGATTCTTCTTAACTCCTCTCGATTTTATGAGAACATGTCTTCACCCCTGTGACTCTTGGCTCCCAGCTCCAGGTGTAAATGTTGGAGGATGGCAGGGTTCTTGTCTCATGAAGTCGAAGAATGAATCTTGCGGACACAAAAGGGTGAAGTGAAGTCAAAGTTTATTAAGTGAAGGTGAGAGCAGAAAGGAAAGAAAAAGCTCTCTAGAGTGCGAGGGGTCCCGGAATGGGTTGCCGCTGAGGGCCTTTAGGGGAGTCTTGTCTTGAGAACTGACTGGGAAGCTTGTGGCCTTGAGATTCTGGTGTCTTGGATGTTTTCTTATCTCTTGTTCTGCTCTGCGTCAGCGTCTCCTCTTGCCAGGAATAGTTCCAGAACCCAGTCAGGGGAATCAGGGGCCTCCTCTCTCTCTTGCCTAGACCTTCACCCCTTCCCTATCCTTCACCCCTTCCCTATTCAAGGGACAGGATGTGTGGGCAGAAAGAGCTGTACTGGGATTGTGAGGAGTGACTGTGTACTTTTTAATTAGTGGGGGTGAGGGGTAGCGCGAGTCTCCAAGGAATCTGGAAGCAAGATTTTCAGGACCCTGAGGGGCCAGCTGCTGCCAAAATAAGGTTCCTTTTAAACAGAAAGGTACGGGGCGCCTGGGTGGCTCAGTCGTTAAGCGTCTGCCTTCGGCTCGGGTCATGGTCCCAAGGTCCTGGGATCGAGCCCCGCATCGGGCTCCCTGCTCGGCGGGAAGCCTGCTTCTCCCTCTCCCCTCCCCCTGCTTGTGTTCCCTCTCTGGCTGTGTCTCTCTCTGTCAAATAAATAAATAAAATCTTAAAAAAAAAAATAAACAGAAAGGTACGAAGGCAGCCACGAGTTCTGGAAGAAGGTCACACTCTGCATGTTTCAGCTGTCTTTCAGTGGGCTGCAAGCTGTAAGGAGATTTTAATGTAAGCTACATTTCTTTTGCCTTTGTTTCCCTCATCATAATCACTTCTGAACACCTCTTACATTTATAAACTCTCAGTCTCCTCAGGGAACCCTCATCCACACTCCTATGACCCTGATGACAGAGTCTAGAAAAGGGAACTCATAAACTCAGAGCACTTGAGAAAGATTTTCTTTGCTTTTTGGTTTAAGGCAAATGTACTCCGGGACGTAACCCAGAGGCTGAAAATGTCTAGGGCAAATAACCTTTTCTAAAGTGAGACAGTGATCTGACTCCTGCAAAGACAGATTGCACATCAGTATCTTGAGCAATGTATCACATCATCCTGGCATTTAACATTCAACATTTTTCTCTTGCACAACTTTTCACTGTGCATGGGACTAACTTTGTTCCAGATTTGAGTCATTTCCTGTTAAGTTTTACATCCACCTTGTGGTGCTCAAAGGTTTCCCGGTCATATGAATGAATACCTTAGCAACTCTAACTAGCTCTGAACTTTGGTCTAGTTTGTGTTGCAATGACATGCACTCCTCTGTGAACTTTCACCTAGATACCGGATTCCCTGAAATTGTTAATAGTACTGTATATGGGCCTAATAATTCTTTTTAATACTGTATATTGATACTTGAGACAACTAAATACTACATAAATGTTATTAGCACATGCATTTACAGTTAAAAAAATTTTTAAAAACCCCAAAAATAAAGTTAAAACCACTCTTCCAAAAAATAAATAAATAAAACCACTCTTCCATCTCAGCCGTAGAAAACAGCACTTGCTTATCTTTTTCTTTCTTTCTTTCTTTTTCAGGTTTATTTATTCATTTTAGAGAGGGAGAGAGAGGAGGGGCAGAGGGAGAGGGAGAATCTCAAGCAACTCCCAGCTGAGTGCCGAGCCCCTCACAGAGCTCAACCTCCTGACCCTGAGATCATGATCTGAGCTGAAATCAAGAGTTGGACTTTTAACCGACTGAGCCACCCAGGTGCCCCGAGCACTTGCTTATCTTTTTCATTCTGTGGTAATAGTAATAAACAATATTTATTGAGCCCTTACTATATGCTAGGTACTGTAAGCCCTTTGGGTAGTACTCATAAGAGGTGGGTTCTATTATTATCTTCACTTTGTAAGCAAGGAAACTGAAATGCACAGAGGTTAAATATTTGCTTCAGGCTATACTAAATGGCTGTTAGTAGGGAAACTGAGATTTGGACCCCCTGTGGTCTGGTTTTGAAGACCATACTATTAACCACTCTGCCATGAATTTGTTGGGACTCAAAGCCCTCTATCTAATTTACTGCTACTGTCATTTCTTACCTGCCCTTTCTGTCTTTCTGTCCTACCTATCACCACCTCTACTCTCTACCATCTTAGCCAAAGAGTGGCGAAGCGGAGTTGAGGAATAAGTAACCCAATTTAGTGACTTACCAGAAAGTCATGATTCTCTGACTGGGAACTGGTTATATTACCAGTTCTCAACCTCTACTAGTTGAGAACATTCCAGTGAGTGCCATAGTCCTGTGTAGAGGCCAAAACACTGGTAAGGAAAGTCAAACCATGCTGTAGGATAGGTTTGCATTCTAGGGAGGGTCCAGGAATTACCCATGACCTTCAATGGGAGGTAGGTATAGACAAACTTTAGACTGAGAAACACTTGGTTTTCCCTAGAGATTTCAAACTTCAAGGTTTCCATGGGAGCAGACAAAACTAGCTCTTTCTTCTTTCAAAATAGCTGTCCTTCCTGAAGATTTCTTGATTCCTCCAGCGATCTCTCTGCAATCCATCCTTCACATTCCTGCCAGAAACCAAACAATCTCTTCCAAGGCCTCCCCAGTGTCGCTCTAAGAATGAAGTTTAAACTCCTGAGCTCATCACACCAAGCCGAAATGATCTGGTCCCTGCCTCTTTGTCTGCCACCCCCTCCAAATACCCCCTTCATTTCACTCCCTTCCACAACTGGAGTGGCTCACCTCTGTTCTAGTTCAGCCCCTTCGCATGCTTTTCAGGGATCTCCCAGATCTACCTTTCTAGACTCACCTCCTACCAACTTCCAGTGTACCCTCTGTCCCAGCCTCACCACACTAAGCTTTCCCCGTGCATGTCATGCACTTTGCTAATACGGTTCCCTTCCCTGTTCCTCACTTGTTCTTAAGGACCCTGCATCAGCACCGCCTCCTTTATGAGAGCTTCCTTGTAACTACCTCGCGCCCCAGCCCTAATTTGAGTGAGCTGCAGCGTCAGCTATGTCCTCAGGGTCTGAGTCTCTGTTTAGATTACACTGTATCTTCAACATAGTGCATTTGATTGTTAACAATCTTTTCTCCTCCCATAGATGGTAGGCTCCTTGAGAATGGTGAAGGACACTATTTCATTTCTGTCTCCTTTTGCAAGTTCTACTAAGGTACCTGGTACCTAGATCGCGTTCATTGTGTTGTGGTTTGGAGTGTTGTTGGGGTCCAGAGCTGATGGCCAAGAAAGAATTCTTAAGACGTCTTTGGTGCAAAAGGGTGGTTTTATTAAAGCACGGGGACAGGACCCGTGAGCAGAGAGTGCTGCACTGGGGTAGTGAGGAGTGACTGATTCTATACTTTGGAGTTGGGAGAGGTAAGGACAAAGGGAGGTACCCAAAAGGACTTTCAGGATGCTGGAGGCCTGGCTATTAGCAAGCTAAGATTGCTTTTCCCTCTAGCAAGGCATTAACATTAAGATGGTTGGGAGTTTCCTGGAGGAATGTTATAGCCTACCTACCTCAAATATTTGTCAGTGGGCTGCAGGTTATAAGGACATTTAATTCTATTTACATTCCCTTCTGCCTTTGTTTCCCACATCACTGTGGAGGGGAGGGTGATGTTAGGGCTCCAGGAAATTGAGTCTATGAGTTTCTAGATGTTAGGCGATTGATAAGATTGCTTTTTTCTTGTCAATCACTAAGACATTTGTAAATGATGGAGACTCACATCCTGCAGGACTGTGATCTCTATCAGTTAACCGCTAGTTGTTATTTTTTCACCCTTCCCTTAGTTTTAGGGCAGCCAGGAACACCTGGGGAATGTCACACAGATCCCCCTGAGAGTGGGGAGAGGGGTTTGTGGGGGGTCAGCTTGTGCTTTGCCCTCAGTTTGCCTTCTCCTCCCTCATCGACTGCAAATTCCCTGAATAGTCTATTTCTTTTTCTTGTTAAGATTTTATTTTTTATTTATGTTAGAGAGAGAGAGAGAGACCCTCACACAAGCGGCCAGAGAGGCAGAAGGAGAGGGAGAGAGAGAATCCCAAGCAGACTTTGAGCTGAGTGGAGCCCAATACGGGGCTCGATTCCATGACCCTGAGATCATGACCTGAGCCCAAATCAAGAGTCGGACACACAGCTGACTGAGCCACCCAGGTGCCCCTTGAATAGTCTATTTTTTAAAAAGATTTATTTATTTATTTTGAGAGAGCGAGTGCGCACGTGAGCACAGGGGAGAGGAGCAGAGGGAGAGAATCTCAAGGCACCCCTTGAATGAATAGTCTATTTCTTATGAGTAAAAGAAATGCCAGCATTTGATAAATCACCTGTTTATGAGGTGGGTCCAAGTAACAGGTGATGCTACTCTCTTCATAAATGAAGTGATATCTTGCAGGTGTGGCTGGAAGGCTCTAGAATGGCATTGTCAGATAGGATAATCATAGCCACAAGTGGCTAAAGGTTTATTATTTAAAAATAAATAAAATGTAAACTTCTGTTCCTTAGTCACATTATCCACATTTCAGATGCTCAATAGCCTCACGTGGCTAGTGGCTAGTACATGGTTAGCACAGATAGAGAATATTTCGATTGCTAGCAGAAATTTCTATTAGACGGCATCGATCTAGAAAGATAATTGATACAGATCAATGGAATCCAAATAAAGTTTATATACCATTAAAAAAATATTCTTGTGAGCACATTAGGATACTGACATTGTAATTTTAGAGAATATTTGTTAATTCTTTCCCTTTGGAATATCCAACACTTGGTCAGTGACTCGGGGTTATAGTAGAGAAATAAGGAGGAAAAAAAGAAGCCATGTGTTAGAAAATTGCTTTGAGGAAAATCTCGGCAATCAGAATCCTGTATCTTCAAAGCAACTAATGATTGTTAAAGGCAGATCTCTGTAGGCCTTTTCCAAGATGTATTGAGTAAAAAAAAGAAGCAAAAAAGATGATACAAAGTAAACCAAATATCTATTTTTATCTTAGAAATCTGGTCCCCTCAAAAGGCTGACAATTTTTAGTTCACCATCTTGACCCTTCAAAAAAGAAATCTTTCAAACAAGACGTAACGAAAGTCGATAAAAGCAATTTCAGAGGTGTGCTTATATAACATTTTTTCTTATAAACCGGTAATACAGGCACCTCTGGAAGTCCAGTTTGCTCTGAGTTCCTCCTGCCTGTAATATGCAGTCCCTGAAGGAAAAAAGAAAGAGTCTGTCTGCAGATAAGGCACGTACAGACCAGGATTATAAAAAGGTGTTCATTCATTTGAGTTGTATGGTGATTTTTCCTGACATGTATGCCAACTTAAAAAGTTGTATACACCTTTTTTTTTTTTTTTTTTAAGGTTCTATTTATTTACTTGAGAGAGAGAGCGCACAAGTTGCGGGGGAGGACAGAGGGAGAGGGAAAAGCAGGCTCCCCACTGAGCAGGGAGCCCAATGCGGAGCTTCATCCCAGGACCCTGGGATCATGACCTGAGCCAAAGGCAGACGCTTAACCTACTGAGCCCCCCAGGCCCCTGTATATGCCTTTAAATGAGAGAAGGAATCTACCATATTATTCCGGATATCTGATAAACAGCATTATGCACATTTCTTCTTAGGGAGGAGTTTGCATTTTAAGAATAAATATTAATGTCCTCAAAATACTGCTTTGAGGAAGGTCAAGAGAGGTATGTACAGGGGCATTTATACAGCGAGAAGCAAGAACATATCTGCCTTGTATCTTTGTCCTGGATTCCTAAGATGCAAA